GCGGTTGAGGGCCCATGATCCAGAACACAATAAACGGGGATTTACTATGCAGCTGATATTAGGGAATGTGTTGCCAATAGCCATTGCTATACCAATCCAGTTGGTGACGCAAAATGTTCAACTAAATGCATCTTGAAGATATTCCTGAATGATTCTTTCTTGTTATTATCTGCGTTCGATGATCAGAATCTTCTCTCCGTGTTTTAAGTCTATCTTCAAACTAGTTTCTGCATTTTCTTTCAACTATAGACACATTTCGCCTCACTCGCCTGGCACAATGTAACAAGTTTACACAGGCAAAGTGCGTCTTCTATCAAAATCATTGATTTTATGGTTATTTCTAAAAAAGGATAAGCATCTCTATTCGTAGCTGGAGAAGGATCAAAATGTCTATCCAACCATGATACAAAATAATCAATGTTAATTTACGAAGAGACTGTTTGGAATCCTCATTCATACAGCTTCAGAATTTAAGGGTCAGTTGAATTGAAATGCTTAAATGTTTTCTGCGTTTTCTGTTTTATGTAAGCCTAAAAAGGTTTTTAACTATTTTATTTCTAGGTGTTCTGTTTTTAAGAACAATAATGTATATTAAATTACGTGGTACAATCCTATGCAAAAAGACAATTAATTTTTTTTTAAATTTCAGTAGTGTGTAATTAAAATAACAGCACATAATTGAACGCATGGAATAATTAAATCCTATATGTACTTAAGTGTTACTACATATTTTAATGGAGAATTTTTGTTTTCCGTTAAAACAGTATTTAAGACTTTTATTGTAAATAGCTACCGTTACGCCACGAAGGCATGCATAAAGGAAAGAGAAAATACCTCATATCTTTTACATGTACAGTAAAAAGAATATATTTCCTGTGTGACTAAATCTGAATGTTGTACTTTCTGTTTGCAATTAATAAAAACACTTTTGGTTAACAAATACATGAAAGAAAATAGAGTGTAGAAGCCAATCTAGTTGAAAGAACTTAATATGATATGTGAAGTTTTCTGGAGTTTCTTATAATCACCTGCTTTTGGTTGATATGCGATTCTCATTTCTAAATTCGCTAAAGGAGCCCGGAAAAAATTCTCAATCTAGAGAAAACATAAGAAACGACTGTTCTTGATAATGGATTATAAAAGAAATGCACAAATATTCAACATTTTAATTATCAGAATGTTAGAGTTTCGAAATGGAGTAGTAATCAGAGTAATTGGTTCAAATACGTTAAACCATGAATCCATGAATCTCTTATCTAACTACGGAAAGGAAGAAACCGGAAACACATTGAAAGGAAAACTGATATAGTGCAACCCTTTGAAGCTGAACGTTGTCATAAACACGTATATTGGATTGGATATGTTAGAAAGATTTTATGATTCGTCAGCAAAGTAAGAAATGGGATTGGTCATTGTAGATAACACCATAAAATAAACATCGTAGAGCCTCGGAGGTTAGGAAAACTATAAAAAATGCATTTACCCAACTAGAATTTTTTTAAGAACTATTACAAGCACAGTAAGGAAAATGAATAATGTAAAAACTTTGCTTATTTGTTCAGTAGCCTACTCACCAAAAAATATAGATGAACATTTTAGTAGAATGAGCTGTGAATTGAGAAAGCAAAAACCATCGAAGCATCAAATGCATAAAAATAAACCATTCACCTTCATTATATATGATGTGTGTAATGTAATAATACCTAAATAGGATTCAACAATACCATGAAATAAAAAACTTCCGCATCAGATAGAAATAGGCTCTCTTATGCAATATTCATTAGTATTAGTGTCTCATAATGCTTAAAATAACCCAGCAGTAGGAAAATTCTATTGCAATTCTGTCTCTAAGCTACTTCACGAAACACATTGCCGACTGATTGTTTTAAAAATTAATTATTATAATCAGATTTATCCTGTTGAAATTACAACTCCTGATGATATGACATTTAAGCAAATATAGGTATAACTATTTTTGAGTTGATTTTTGTGGTCATAAGAGAAGAAATCTAAAGGTGTTTTCATTCTAATGAATCTTTATTTAGTTTTAGTTTATTATTTTAGCAGACGATTTCAAACCCTTAAAAATATTAATGCATCATATAAATTTTAATTAGTTTAAACTAAATAATTTGTTAGAACAAATTAGTGCCACGCTTGCATAATGAAACTCGGCAACGACGAAACAAGCGAGCACCGAACGATATACAATGATTCCCAAAAGTGTTCGGACACTTTAAGAATTTGTAGAATAAGCAATGTAGCCCGAAATTAAATTCGAATATAAAGTCCAATACATTTTTCATATCCATCTCCATGCGATTTTGAATAAAACCAAACTCTTCCTTTTTTATACTGACCTATTTTCTTTTTCTAAAATTGGAAATGTAAGTAGCTAAAACACGCCCCACAAAAGTGATCGTACACCGAAACAATTTCGTAAATAAAATTGTAGTGTGACACCTGTTTTGCATTTTGATGACATTTAAAAATTACGAGTAATTTGGCTTTATTCTTTGTTTGCTTCGTTATAATTCAATAAATATTTGAAAAAAATTATGGCAGTCGTAAAGAAGCGACAAATATCACTCGAGAATTGAACATTTTTGATCACAAGGGTGGAAAATAGATCCGGGATACCTCTAAATTAGTAAATGTATCCCATTCTATGATGCAGTATGTGATAAAATGCTTTTAAGAAGAAAATCAGATGGAAAATGAAGAAAGAAGACGTCGACAGGCAAAATTAATTCTACGTGATCAGAGATTTGTTGTTAGAAAATTTGTGAAAAATCCACGTTTGGGTGCTGTAAAGATTTCTACATAATTTACGGACAATTTTCCTACTTCAATTTTACCTGAAACTCTTCGACGATTACTTAGATTAGTTGGATTACACAGGCGCTCTGCTCGAAGAAAGTTGTTTGTAAAGGCAAAAAAATAGAAAGCTTAGTTTTTCCTTCGCAAAATCTATGGTAAATAAATCCGAAGCGTATTGGAACTATACTATTTGCAGATAAAAGAAAACATTTTTGGTTCCGATAAGCAGATAATTTTATGGAGAAGAAAAATTTGATCCCAAGACCTCGGGTGGTGGAATAAAAAGCATTGTGATGGAGGTGTCTTTGTGCGGGGGGTGCATGTCAGTATCAGGATTAGGTAATTTATTCACGGCATAATGAACCATGCTCTTTATTTAAATTTTTCAAAATATAATTTAAAATCATCCTCCCAAAATTTGGGTATTGGAGGCAACATTTTTTTTATCAGGATAATGATCCTAAGCACACAGCTATCAACGTTCTATAATTATCCACAAGTTCTAAACACACCACCTTACTCACTAGATTAAAAGCCAATAGAAGGTATTTGGAGACCACTGCAGGTTAGAGTACGAAGACACAACATAAAAACGTAAACCGAACTAAAAACAGGAATGATGGAAGAATGGAGAACATTGATGCAGACATTACAAAAAAGAAATTTGAAAGCTCTCATAAGTTCTGGAGGATATAGTATAATATGCTAACTAGCAGAAATACTGCAATATTTACTAATATGTATAGCTTTCTTTAAAGTGTACAAAGACTTTTGTAGGGGTAACTTCTCTACTTCTTTTTGATTATTGATTTCTCAAAAAAATGTTTTACAATGTTTATGAAATAACTAATGTGTTTTTGCTGAGAGAAATTTATATATATTATTAAAAAATGCTTATTCACAAATATAAATTTTTATTAATGAATAAAGCAATATTTCATTGAATCTAGTAAGTGTACGAACACATTTTTGAGCCATTGTATATTGGAGAGAGAGGATTCTACTTATGTTCTGATGCAGAAATCATAAAAGGATTTTGTGCTAACGTTGTACAAGAGCGTCATTCATTTTCAGCCATGTTATCTTCACTTCACGAAATACACAGCTGATAGTATTGCCTAATAGGTAAGGCTGAAGATATTTAAAACTTATAAAAGAGTATTTTGAAAGTTCTTTATTTCAACACTTCGATTTAAAGTTTGTAAAGACTAGTAACTTTGATTTATTTTTTATATGTGCTCTATTTGAGTTACAAAAACTTTCTAACTTGTTAAATAAAGAATTCATAGTTGTTCTTATCAGGTTCAATGTTCCGTCTTACTTTCTTCGGGAACATGCAAGGACCTGACTCGGAACAGAGAGCTTACTAAAGCTATGTTCGATAACTGTGGGAAATAGACAGGATACACAAGAAGGGTATACAAAACCCTTTATTTTTCTCTATTTACAATAACTTCCGTACTTCGGAATACAACGACCCACTACTTGTGGTCTAAACGTAAAAATATAAAAATAAAACTAAACTCTAATTTAACTTTAAATAATAAACGTGGAAGATTGGCCTTATATTAACAGGAAGCCGTATGTAGTACAGAGAACTGTGAACACTACAATACGTTTAAAGTTATCAAGAGGATTAAACCTCTGGCCTGGAAGGCAACCAGCAACTGAGTAAAACTTCTAAGGTAAGCGGCCTGCTTCGACTAACTGCTTCCTCTCTCTCGCTTGGCAAAAAGCCACAACTTAAATACTTGGCGTTCGCCAGACAAACTTTGCATAAATACATTAACGCTTATAATTCTGGCCGGAAGTAGAAAAATAAGAAGTGATAGTAAAGATTTAAAATAAAATAAACGTTAGTAAAACTTAAGATCCTTACATTCTAACTTATGACTCTTTTTTAAAATTGTGCTAAATAGAGTATAGTATACTCAAACGCCTTAACTGGGTTAAATGCACGACATTTCATGATTAAGTTTAGATTAGGCTGAAAATAATAAACAAATTTTAAGCCAGATTCGTGTAACAGATAGCTTACTGCATAGCTATTTTTGAAATAAATAGACGGTATAGCTGACTTATAGCTAAACTTAAAAATTATTTCTAAAGTGAACTGATTAAACAACTGATTAAACAATATTCGGCTTGAAATGCTTATAAAATATTTCTTAATAATTTACCTAGGACATCAAGGTATCCAATTTGACTTTTCATGGGTACTGTATTCACTTGGCACATGTAACCGCCTTTGTCGGCTTCTTGCACATTGCGAATTTGCAGAATAAAGTTACGATTGTCGCTGTGGCTTAAACTGATGCGATAGTTGCGTGTGATAATGTGATGGTGAATAGTTAAAATAGCCTTTGTTTCGACTTTAATCCAAGCTGCCTGTAAAAAGAGAAAGATCTTTATTAATTATGATTTATTAATAGAAAATGTAACGATAATTCATTTATCAAACTACATCACTGTCCCAGTTCATATGATACATTACATAATAAATACATGGTACAAAATACAAATTAATTATCCATTCATATCTTTACAGCCATAAACATAGATACAAGTAAATTTGACTTTACATTTTAATAAATCGTGAATGCAAACATATACTGTGGAGAAATTAACAATTCTGAGGTAGGTTTTTTTAGAAGTTCTATCTTCAAGCTGGTTGGTTAATTGATTACGTAAGAAAGCGAGAGCTATTTGTCCAAGGAAAAGATACTTTCGCGAATGACATTTCTAAGCCTCGTATTTACGTTGCGTACGGGAAGGTTATGTAAACCCCATGTAGTCAACACATTTGCCAAAATTAGAACCCAGGTAGAGCTACCAGTGTTTGACAGTCCTATGTTTGGATGCCGCACGTTGCGAACCCAGCGATGGTCTTCATTGCACTCACAGTAATATGCACTCTAGAATATAAGAGTGTAGAGACATTAGGTATTTTTTGAAAGCAGGCAAGATGAAAAATTAGCAATCGGCTTCGCCGGGAATCGAACCACGGACCTCTGTAATACCGGCCCAGCGTGCAGAACCACTACACCACGAAGGCACGCCAGGAAGGCGGGAAAAATACCTTATAAGAGATATGCATTTAATTTGCAGAATCATTAGGTTATACGATGAGGGAACGCGAAAAACGTACAGTGATCTCGCCGGGATTCGATCTCCGAATCTGCCTAAAACGCGTCGACCTTGCTTCCAGTTAAACCCCGAAAGCATGCGGAAAGGAGAGAGGGAAAATACCTTATATACTAGCTTTTTCAAAGAGCGACTCGGGATCAGGCAACCCAATCGCCAAATCCTGGTGATGACGAATTATCATTCACCACCTTTCGTTTTAGTTCGGGCAGCAGGCCCTTGCAGAATTTTTTGGTGTGAAGAAACTGAAGAAATTCTCATTGCCCTCGCCGAGGTTCGAACTCTGGACCTCCAGAATACGCGTCGAGCTTCTTTTCAGTAATACTACGAAGGCATGTGAAAAGGATGGCGAAAATAACCTTATAAATTACCTACAGGAAGAAGGAAAGAGCTATTTCTGAACATGTTTAGCTTTTGTTTTATTAAAATTAACATCCATTCGCTTCTATAAAAGTTTACATTACCGTGCATTATCTGTATTTAAGTACTTTTGGCTTGAAAATTGAATTGGTTTGGTTTACCTAATTATGGCAAATAACTCGAGGACTAACTGCCTCATGGTAATGATACCTGAAAACTGAAACAAATAAGGAAGCCTGAAATAATTCTCGATCGCCAATATTTTATCGAGATCATAGATATTTATTCAATATCTATCGAAATTTAATATTATATAAAATTACAGCATAATGTATGCTCATACTTACTTTCTTGATGCATTGGACGTTAACTTAACAGGTAAAATAATGTTAAATAAGGAAAATGCATATTGATGCAGAAAGTTTCATTATCCATCATGTTTTTATTTATCAGTTTCGGTTACCGATCAGCCTCCAAGCAAACAGATGAGGATAAATATATATCCATTAGATTCTCCATAAAAGTGCAGAATCTTGGTTATCTAAGACCTAGCTCTCAAAGCTCTACAATAGTTTATAAGGTATTTCTCCCACCTTCTTGGCGTGCCTTCGTGGTGTAGTGGTTCTGCACGCTGGGCCGGTATTTCAGAGGTCTGTGGTTCCATTCCCGACGAAGGCTTTTGCTATTTTTCGTCTTGCCTGCTTCCAAAAATACCTAATGTCTCTGCAAGTTCAATGAAAGGAAATCATATTTATGGAATAAATTCATGTTCACATGTAGAGGAAGAGAGATTATACACTGATCATATGCAATGGGGTTCATTGCAGGCGACTAGGTGTAAATAAAAATAATATTTTTTTGGTATAAAAACAAACAAGAAGAGTTAATGAATGATATATTCAGGTAAAAACACGAAAATCTTAGGAGGATTGGTCTTATGATATAATAAATAAACAAATAAGTAATTTTAAAGCTTATTGGATGTCATAATGAATAAATGAGTGTCGCACGAAAACTGCATCCTCTTTATTTTAGAGCGTCTGGTAACAAAGCCGGAGATACCACTTCAAAGAAAGGTGCATATATGATAACGACTGGGTCCAGCAGTGCCACTGTCCGACCGGAAGACTAATTTTTCGGAATTTAGGGAGGCACTCAGTGGGGGAATGTAGAATCAACAGAGACTGTACCGGACAGAAAAAACCTATCACGGGCCCTGCCTACCGATCTACATTTATCAATGCATATGAGAGATTTCAAAATAGGTACGACATAACTATGAATCAGAAAATTTCGATCCAGAAGTGAGCTAAGCAACTTACCACATCATCCGAGAGGAATGGCATTTGCTGCTTTTTTTGGACTACTGGATATAACAGCCTTTAAACCCATCTCTTTCAATTTGAAATTATCACTGGCTCATCGGTCCGTCTGTAAGCGGACGGACCCATGGACGCCCTTCATAATACCTCCTCTATTGCCTTGTCTGACATCACTTTTTACCTCTGGTACTGGAGAGGATGGAATCGCTTGACGAATTTTTAGAGTTTTGGATTTTCCCTGTTTTTGGTATCTTATATTTGCATGTTGTATTGTTTATGATTTTTGCCTGCATATGTTTCTTTTTGTCTCTTCCCAATGTCTTCTGTCCACAGGCCTTCTGAATTTCAAGTAAAACAAGTATAGTAAGACCCCGCTTAACGCGGGGGATACGTTCCATCGAAGTAGAGCGTAATGCGAAACAGCGCTAAGCGAGGCTATCTTAACATGTAAATAATGGGGTTAGGGGAAGACGGATAAAAATGGTTAGGCATTAAATTTAATAATGTTTTTTTAATAAAAATAAAATCAAACATTTATTTCTTACAAAAATAAAAACAATATAAACGCATATACTTTTAAAAAACAAATAAAATTCTCAGTCAGATCATTCAGTCTATTCTGGGTTTCCAATTTTCTGCCTTTTTGTCAAGAAGGCATTATGATAGATAGATTGGCTTAATGGCATATTGCGTTCAATTTTCGTCGTCAATCCATATAGACAGTCGTTTTTTTTCCATTTCCTCTATAATGTTATTTTTAGAACGGGTAATTCTAGTTGCAGAGCTTGACGTAGTTGCAGTTGCCGATGACAGTATTTTTTCTTTATTCTTAAGAATTGTCCTTATTGTTGAAGTTGCCAAAATCAATGCAGCACTAATTTGAGATTGACATTCACCAGAATCTAATCTTCTAATCACTTGCATTTGAGTTTCCAGTGAAATGCTGTTTCTGGTTGCCTTTTCTTTCTTTTTTTTATTATCACCCATGATAAAAACTAAAGATCATAATATTTGTCACTGTATTAATCGTTATAGTAGTATTATACAAATTTAAAACTTACAATAATGTCAACAAATGTTTCAAATGATAAAAATGCGTCCACCAAGCAAGAAACACAACTACACTGTTTCGGATATGTTATTTGGAAACCTAGCGCTTCGCACAATTTCGGAGAATCCCCGGGTTGAAATAAAAGAGCACTAAACCGAAACAGCGTTAAGCGGGGTCTTACTGTAATATAAAAAACATTTTTTTTTCAAGTCAATTTCTACTTAAGTCAACAAAGAAAACTTTTAACGGCAATTATTTGTAAGTCTAATAATATATTTAAAAACATCATATCTTTAGTTCCAATAAACAGAAATAAATAAGTAGGAATTGACTTTAATATGTGAAAAAACTGTACTAACATTAAGTGTCATCTACTACAAGTTTAAAAAATGCTTTTGAACTGAAGTGGATGATAAAAAGCGTTTTATTATTGATTGAAAATTTGAACAACATATAGGAAGAGTGGGAGCTAATAGCAGGAATTTAAAAAAAAAAAAAAAAAAAAAAAAAAAAAAAGTTGTAATTATTTTAGTTTTGTCACCGCGTATTTATTATAAGAAATAGTGGACGTTCTTTTATAAAGGAAAGAAATTTATTGCTGTGTGCGTTGCATATTTGTTAGGGTAATATGTATGTGTTTCATTATTTATATTCTGCACGCATGATTTTGCGCTTCTTAATGAGTATTAATGATTCATGGAATTAGGCTAATAAATTATTTGCTTATTAGTGGCTTTTTTATTCTTAATGTTTCGAAACCTGTAAAGTGTGTTTTTCCTTTAGAGTCTTATTTCGGCAGAAAAGCAGATTCGCAGGCTATAGTGGATTAGTATTGCTACCACGGCTTCTGATATAAATTCGCACTACTTGTTGTTGGGAATTGAATTTAATATGTGAAAAAAACTGTATTAACATCAAGTGTCATCCACATAAAAATGTTATTAAGTTTAAAAAATTTATTTGAACTTGAGTGGATGAATAAAAAGTACTTTATTAACGACTGAAAATTTGAACAAGCTATAGGGAGAGTGTGAGCTAATAGTATGAATTTAAAAAAGATGAACAAATAAATAACTTTGTAAATTAAATCTAGAAATCACTACAAGACCAACGGGATATTCCTCTTCTGAGTTTGTGCATCATAATCATTTTGAAACTGTACAACTTTCCAATTTGAAGGCATTAGATATAATATTTCATGTCCATGCAAAAAGAAGTACGTGGACTGAGATTATCTTTCGATACCGCAGAACTGCGATTTAGAGAGTAGATCAACGATGTTAACTTAGAGCACCTTCATAACTTGCCTGCACATGGTCCATAATGATCTGCTGTCTGTTATTAGTTTTCCAAACATGTTTACTTTTCACCAGCACTTCAAGCACATATTTTGCTCAACTTCCTCTTCGAATTTTTTGAGCAGATGGCTTCTGGATAGTGATATGTGGATGCTTAAAATTTTGTGATATTTATTGTACATGCAATTCATAAAATTATTAATTAAAACCCGC